TGCTATTATTTTGACTGTTCACTCTTTGGCAATGTTTCTTTTAAAAAGTGATGATTTTAATAAAACCTAAACATGAAAGTGAATCTATATAATTTTTTGAGACTTTATAACAAAAATATTAAACACTTTATTAGATCAATTGTTTACAATTAAATATTCTAAAAACTAATGCAATGAAATATTTATCATTTATCAATTTATAAAGAAATAAATATGAAAATTTTCTATTGATAAATTTATAAACATTTTCTAAATTAAAATATGTGAATCAACTATAAGGAAATCCTTATTATTTACCATTTTATAAAGCTCAAATCGATTGGTAATTCGCCAATATTAAACAATATAACATAAATAAACAATAGTGTTTATTATTTTTGTTGTCAATTCTCAAGAACAAAGAAAATGTATAAATTCACTTTCATATGTTTAGGTTTTATTCCAATTATAATCATTGGTTTTTAAAAACAAACACTAACAATAAGTGAAGGTAGTTAAAATAATAGTGGTATCAATAGAAGAACTGGCTTTCTGACACTCCATTTTGTTTTTTTGTAGGCATGAAAGTTCAAGTTTGCCTAAAATGGATTCTTTTGAACCAGTCATCTGTATAATCAGGCAAGAGAAAAGTTATTTTGATAAGATTAGCAGTTTATAAATCTCTATGAACTTGGGAGTAGGGGGAGTAAAGATTTTGAAAATATTGCAGAATTTCTCCTAAAACGGGGAATTATATATACATATATATATATATATATATACACACACACACAAAAAGAGAGTGATAGAGAGTGACTAAAGATTTTTCTTTAAATAGTATCTCCCTTGTAGGGCAATCATGGCTCTCCACAGATATCTTTATCTCTGAATTGCTATAACTTTTTTTTTTTTTTTTTTTATTTATGAATTGGTACTTATGTGCTATGACATCTTTGGAAAGATATTGTAGTGGTTTCCCATTACCGTCTCCATAGTATGGAATTCAGCGTTGTCTTCTAGACTGGTTATCACACAAGGCCTAGTCTACTGTTATCTAACCCATAACTAGGAAGAAAAATCAATTCATGCTTTTTCCAAGAGGTGTTTGTGTGGAGTGAACAAGCTGGAATTTGAGCCTAGATGACCAATTACCACACATACACTACTTGGCTTATTTTCTTTATTATAATATTCTCTAAGAAAAAAAAAAAAGCATGTTATATAACTGAATCCTACCAGAACTTGAACTGCTGACTTTGAGGTAAGCAGTCAAGTGACATATCCATTTTGTAATCACTATGCTACTTGAACAGGATGGTAAAATGAAGTTACAAATACTAAATTATGCAGTCACCAGATGCTACATTGATCCTTAGCAGGGTGCATAGATACTATGTAGAAGTGCTAATCCATATGAAAAAAAATCTGTCCATTTTGACAGATACCACACTAGTAATTTTATAATTAAGAGTGAATTAGCAGTACCTGTAAAAATTTCTGTTTTCCTAGGAATCATAATTCTTAATTTAATTTTAACAGTTATGTCTCAAGGTCTTTTCTATAAATTCTTTCATGCTAATTGTTCAAATGAGCTCTTTGCTATGGTACCTAGAATTTTTTTTTTTTAATTTAAGCACAGCACTAGACTGGTGTTGAGATCTCATCAATTTACAGTTGAGTTGGCTAGATGTAGCTGTAAATTCTATGCTAACATATTCTTCTCTTGCATTACTTGCTTGTGGAACTCCCTTCTGGCTCCAGTCTTTCCAGCCAACTATAATCTACAAAAATTTAAATGCAATGTTAATTGCTATTTACTGTCCATCTGATTACTCTCTTATTTCTGCTCATCATTAATGTTTCTGTCTAATTCTTCCACACACTGTAACCCTTTGTGTTTTATTGGCATTACTGCCTTGCATGGGGTGATTCAGATAAAAAAAAAAAAAACAGTATATGCTCTATGAGATGCGAGTAAAAGTCTGTAAAATATAAAAATACTTTTGACACTTAATATATAATATTAACTAGCAGCACCCATGAAAATTTGAGTTTTCTGATGAATCAGAATTAAGTTAAATTCCTCAACTATAAAATACCCGTCAAAATTTCCCTATTGTATCATTAAATATTTGAGCTTAACTTTAACAAAATATTGCAATAATGATCATAGGTATAAATGCAGGCCGTTATTTAAAGAAGTAAGAGAGTACAAATGAAGATTCAACAAACTGACATTTTCCATTTCAGTGAAGCAGTGTTTAAATGCATGAGGGCATTATCACTTTATATGTGTTTTTTTCCTCACTAAGACCAAATAGCATCTATGATATCTTTTTCTTCCATCTTTCTTTACCAACAAGAGTCAAAAACATAGGCAGGGCATAACACACGTTAATTACCAAAGGAAAAATTAGAATTGTGACGCTACAGTAAAAAGATACTACACATTGTCACATTATCAAACAAAAAAGCATTCAACATGTTTTACATTTCTTAGTGATTAACACCCCTTTTAGTTGTTTGATTTTCTTTTGACATTTTTCCATAATTTCTTTAGAGTAAAAAGAAAAAAAAAAACTGTCATTATTGACAATGAGGTTTTCAGTTTTTTCTCACATGCAAGTACCCTTCCAATATGAGGCACTTCGTGTTTCAGTAATTTTTTTTCAAAATGTTATTAAATCAGTTACTAATATTTCTTTACAAAAAATCTCTAAAGTCTAATTCGTTACAAGAGTACTTCTGTTTATTCACTTCACACACAAAAAAGCAATCAACCCAATAAAACTGAAACCTTTGAGTAGAAATGTCGCGTTGACAAACTTGTACACTTGTCAAGTCACTTGTGACCCTATTCTTTTTTATTAATATTGCTTTAGGAAAATGACATTTGCTATGTGAAAATATTCGATAGTGTTTTATAATGTATTTAAAAGGGTAAAAACTAAAAAGGAGAAAAAATATTGGATTTCTGACCATTAAATAATGATGTTATTATTCTGCAAAAACATCAATCATTCAATTTGTACAAATTAAAAATCTATATATTACATTGGTAATTAATTAGGCAGAAATTTAGTAACAGCTGTTTATTTTTTTTTATATCAAGACTATTTTTTTTTACTTTTTAAAAAAGAAAAAACTGCGTGTGCGTTTTTACTTTTAACGTAGAGTAGATCATGGTCCTTAAAAAAAAACAAGTTTCAAATTCAGACAGCTTAACTTTTAGTCTTGATGTTGAAAAACAGCGAAGTGTAGAGATTTCCATTCCATTATGTTTTCTTTTCCTAATTAAACACTACACAACACACCTTTAAAAAAAGTTGTATAATTAAATGTACAAAAAGAAACTAAAATCTGATGCCAAATAGGGATATAGGTGCCGGTGAAGTAAGAAGTCTTAGAGACTAAGACTAGAGAGAAATATTCGAGGTTCCAAACATTTCTTCATTTTTCTTAATTCCTAAATGTGTGGGTGGATTCTTCTTATATGCCTATGCGTCGTCTTATTTAATCTTTATGCCATCATCAACTACGGTAGCTGAAATTAAGTGAACGACAAAGACCGAGTGCTTTACAAACGAAACATGTCCAAGTTCTTGAGTAGAGTTTCAAAATAGTGAATTAAGAATTAGTTAATTTAGTATTTGATAGCTGCAACAGTAGATGTTCGTTTTTTTTAACGAAGTTGTTACAAAAACAAAAAAAAAAACAAACTAAAAACGTCATTAATTTTCTTACTGTACAATTCATTATTATATTTTTTAAAGTTAATTTCTTCCAGTTCTTCAGCAGATGACTTTAAAATTTAAAGCTTAAATTAAAACACATACAAGCTGGAAAATGTGGTGGGATGTTCTTCTTAGTTATATGTGCATTTATCGGCCAATTCATTTAAAAATCGGAAAAAGGAGTCCTTATTGAAAAATGCATCGAGAGAAAAAAAAAAAAAAAAAAGAAGGTAATATCTTCAATTTTACAACTTATTCTTGTAATTTTTTTTTAATTATTTACTGAAGAATTAAAGAAATTATCTTTAACAAAGCGGAACAAGAACTCTGCAAAAACTAAGGATAATGAACACTAAGTAGTTAAACTAAAAAGTAAACACATTATATTATAACAATCAATGACTAAGCACACGTGTTCTTTTTCTAATGACATTTTTTCGAATCGATAAACAGACTTTGTTAGTAATTTTCCCACATTGTACTGTGTAATTCAACAAAATATACATTTTTAAATTCTAAATTAGAATGAGCAGAAGTGTGCATTTTTTTATGTTTAGCTTGTAAAGCCACCAGACAAGAAGACTTCATATTTGTTTTAATTTTAATTAAAAAACAAAAACAAAAAAAAACATCATAACAGAAACCATTGTTGCTTAAAAAATGGAAAGGTATATCGACAATCAAACAGCAAACTTTAATAGTAAAATCAAGTGTTCCTTTATAATTAAATAAAGGGAAGTTTGTTTCGTATATAATGTTTGACTACAGCCTTGAAAGCTATCTTATTTTTAATCTAAAATTCAGTGATATTTGTTTAAATTCTAATTAAAATTCGTTAAACTGTCATAAATTTATTTTTATTGTTCCATGTAGAAAAAAAACTCGGAAGTTATCAAAAAGAGAAAACATCGACAGTTGTCTGATTTTCAAAACATGCATAAGAAAATAAATATACATTTCTAACGAGATATATATATATATATATATATATATATATATGTTAACTTATTTGTGAGAAAGCATTTTGACTGCATGTTTCTTCAAGTCAAATTTTACCTCTTTTCTTTCATAATATGAAGCGAGCCAAAAAGAATAACTCACTCCCAAACCCTACCCAATCACACACAAACAAAAAACATTACACAACTTTTCTCCCTAACTTTTTGAAAAAGTTTCTAACACTTCACACACATGCACACATTTGTGTGTATGTACACACACGCACAGAAAGAACAAAAACGAAGCTAAACATCAAATTTTGCCATCATAAATGTTTTTGTTACTTACAGGACAAGCGTATTTGATAGATAAGCTCTGTACTGTGTCGCCGTCCGTCACCTGGTGTTGAAGGTACGCCTGTTCCGAGAAGCCACCAGAGGCATGAAATGAAAAATCTGATTTTTTAGAACTTCCCTGATTTCTCCTGGATCGGATTTCTGGCATTTCAAACACTTCAATCTCCTCCTCATCGTCGTCGTCATTGTCCTCATCTTCGTCCTCTTCCTCCGCAGTGTCCACGTGTCTAAACACATATGTCTGCTGATGGTGTTGTTCCTCTCTTTGTCGTAATCTGTGGTACTTTGGCGAATTCGGCGAGAGAGATGACCTGGGTAATAATAACTTATTACCGCTGATTTTGTTGGACGAACGGCCACGGCTGGTCCTGTCAGCTGCATTGTTACGGACGGCTGGGGGCACCAGCAATCGCCCACGACTGTCGGGTCGACGAAAGCCGGCACTCATAATAATTAAGGAAAATAAAAAATTATAATTACAAGGTTTTAAAACTTGAAAAGTTGTTATAAAGAAAGGAAGTGCAAGAAGTTACTTAGAAAAAGAAGAGTATCGACAAAGACCCAATTTGCTAGTCATGAGTTGTTTTAAAACAATGACAGTAGAACCGTGCAAGAAGAGTAAAAAAAATGACAGTCTGTTTTTAAAATAGCCGTACCCTTGAAAAGGTACGATAAGTTTTTAGGGGTATCTAAGAGAAGAAATTAGTATCTTTTTATCTTAAAAAAAAAAAAGTATCTTGAAGAATATGATAAAAGCAGTCGAGTATTATAAATTTGTCATCAATTAATATTCTTTTTTTAATCAGTAATGTGACCACTTGTCACTGAAATGAAAATGAACCTTGTAATGTAAAATTAACGTAACCAGTCGGATATCGGAATGTGGTGGTTTCCAACCAGCCATAAAAGGAGGCATAAACAACATAAAAATGATACAATCACTCCTTTTTTTTTTGTTTGTTTTAATAACGGCAGCCACTAGAAAAAAAAACTGAGGTTTTAACAACTCCTTGACTAAGATAAAGTTCTCATTGCAAGATAAACAAGACGAAGGAGGAGGAGGAACTTGATGTTGTTGGACGTTGTAGCCCACACACCATCTCTTTTTTTGGACCAAGAACGGTCGCTGCATTAGCCAGACGACGCTTTGATGAACATGGTATTCCTGTGATGGATTAAAGGTTATCTGGGTGAAGGTAGTGAGAGAAGCCGGACAGGTTTCCAATCTTTCCTGTAGAGGCCATCTGTACGGAGGAGGCCGACAGGAACTACATGGCAGTGTGGCGCTCCCGGCATGCGTACTCCACTCAAAATTCAGGGGTAGATAACTCTCGACTTTTGCAACTGAACACGTAGACCAAGGGTAAGTAATTTTTGCCTAACAAGAGTTTTAATCTTTTTAAAAAATATTTATTGTACTTAAAAGTACAAATTTACCACAAAGGCAAAAAAAAATGGGAAGTGGCGGGGATGGTTGGTCAACACTTGTCCTCTCGCTAACTTAGCTAGCCATAGTCACTGACTCAACAACTCCAATATTTTTTCCCTTATTACTTTTTTAAAAAAATTAACAGCTATATTAGTGTTTTTTTTTTCTTTTTAAATAGATTTTTGTTACAATTTTTAAAACCTCAAAATAACAGTTTATTGCTTTGTAATGTTTCTTGATCAAGTATCCACAACAAACAGTTATCTTTCATTTTTTTTAATACTTAAATAATTTTAATAAAAGTATTGAAAGAAATTTATGTATTTTCTAAGTAGGTATATGTGAAAAAAGTTATTTAATTTGATAGTATAATAAGGTTTAATACCACTATTTAGTATGCAAGATTACCTTGGTCAAATACATGTTAAAACTTGACAATTTTTATATTACACTCATTCAAAAAGTGTCAAACTTTTGTATCTATGAACATTTTACTTTTTATTACGTCATCTTTAGTGTAAAAAATAAATGTTTAATCATTTAGGTTGTTTCCTTTTTAGCATGAACCTTGAGAATGGTGTATCTTTAGACGAGTTGTAAAAATAAATTGTTGCAGTTGTGTGAAAATCTGTTTTAAAATTAGCAGTTAAAGAACCGATAAAATTATTTGTGAATTGTTGTGTATTCATTTTTTGAATTTATGGAGAAATAAGTTTTCATATTGACTGACCAATGAGAGATGTGCTCTCAAGCCCTTGTGAAAACCTGGATAGAGCTGTTGTGTCCCTCCTTTGTTCAAGAAAAAGGACTGTTATTAGTGGATAAGTTCAGAAAGCAATTAACCAGTGAGGAGGCAGCATTAGCTCCCACGATCAACACAGGGAAAGAAGAAAAGCCAAGAGATTCAACTCCGAGGACAGAAAATTCCTTTCTTTTTTTGTATAATTATTTTTCAAATTTTTATATATATACTAAAATGACAAAGTATTGAAGGCAATAGGAATAGAAGGAATAAGTAAGTACCGTACCTAGTAAATGGATGGCAGAATATGAACTGGGAACAAGAGTAAAGGGATAAAAATTGCTTTAATCATTTCACTCCAAGCTAGGCAATAAAGCCACTAAGATGCAAGGGGAGGTACCGAGTGTTAGTGAATATGAGAAAAAATAAACACTTTTAAGGAGAGAGAACAATAAAAGAATAAGAATTAAGAAAACAGAAGATAACAATTGACATTGCATTTAAATTTTTGAAGATCCATGTTGACTGGGAAGCAAGAAAATGGAAGAGAGTTCCACAAGTGAGAAGTGTGAGAGAAGAAACTGTTGGTGTAGAACTTACAATTATATCTTGAGGAAAGTATTATTTATTTTGAATAATACAAAAATGTGGCACAAGGCCAAAGTGTAGGGTAGGGGAAGGCTGGTTTTCACTCTGTCTTATGTTAAACATAACTAGCTATGATTACTGACCCACACATACCACAGTAATCCTTACACCAAAACAACACATTCTTGCGTATCATTCTTACTACAGACACCATCATACCTCAAAGTCTCTATGTAGTCTTAACTAATTCCAATATTGTTATGATGTCCTCCCTCTAAAGAGTCTATGTTGGACTCTTCCACCTACTATAAGATTAGTAGGAGAGAAGGCCTTGAGGGAACAGTTGCATAGATTGTTCAACAGTCCAACTCTCTGCCTCAGCAGAGAGGAACTCAGATGAAGCTTTGCCGAAGGGCAAAGTTTTGTCCGGGGAGGTAGACAAGCCCTGAACCCATCTGGCAGGTTTAAAGGGAATATTTTTGGCTGAGCCTGCGGGCTCGAAGTAACCCATGTTAAACTCGGCCTTGTGCCACATACATTCTATGTAGGGGGACTGTTAAATATAATGGTCACATAGATTGTTCAACTGTCAAACTCTCTGCCTCGGCAGAGAGGAACTCGGATGAAGCTTTACTGCAGGACAAAGTTTCGTCTGGGGAGGTAGACAGTCCCTGAACTTGTCTAGGCAGGTTCAAAGGGAATATTTTTGTCCAAGCCTATGGGCTCAGAGAAACCCATGTTAAACTCGGCCTTGTGCCATATACATTTCTTGTGGGGGGGTATGTTAAATATAACAGTCGCTGTGTTCTGCTGTGCTGGTCAAACTCTCTGCCCAGAGGCAGGGAGGATCCCCAGACAAGGCTATGTCAAAGGGCAGAGTCTTGTTTCAGGAAACAGCTACCTGACTACGGAGTTTATGGGGGATTTTTGGCTGAACCTATGGGCTTGGATTACCCCACATTAAACTTGCCCTTGTGCCAAATCCTAACTCGTGGGGAGGCTGGTAAATATAACAGTCGAATAGATTGAATGCTGGGTCATCCGAAACACACTCACTAGTCGTGTAATACTCATATTAATATATGATATATCTGCAACTCTTGTTTTGTTATTTCTTTAACCATTTACTTGGTCACAACAAATATGTACAATTTATCTGGGGTGGGAGGTGGAATAAAAATAACAACATTTAAATGTGAGACCCCAATGAATCTAGAGGAAATTTCATCAGAACAATTACCATGAAAGTATTTATAGAAAAGGCACAGGAAAACTATATATAGACTGAATTTAGGTCAGGACCAATAACATTGCAGATTCTTCTTTGGATTTTATCAACAATCTCTAATTATATAGCAGGAGCACCAGACCACATGTAGCAGCACTATTCAAAGTAAGAATGAATGGTACACTTATAAATATGTAAGATAGATTCTGAAGAGATAAAATTTTCCTAGCAGCAGATTTAGCAATTGATTCCATATAATCTTTCTATTTCATGTCAGTGGTAAAAGGTAATACAAAGATCTACAAAGGAAAACAAGTTGTGGAGAATCATGATCCCCCCCAAAAAAGGGACATGGCAAATAAAAAAAAGATGAAGGAGAAGAAAATTACAAGCTTACCAAAAACAGAACAATTGTATTTTGGTTCATAGGGTAATTCTTTAAAAATTGTAAAATACCTGTATTTATAACTTTTCAAAAAAGGTCTGTACAGAAAAAATTAGGATCATGCTTCCTTTAATCTTCTTTTAACAATTAGGTTGTACCATTTAAAGCAAAACTTTCAAAATCAATATAAATGAAGGCTTGTCATATCCTGTTTCTTTACTGACATATTTTTTTAAAAATAACCTGAAGAAAAATCTTAAGCTTTGTTGTAAGACTTATTCAAGATATAGAAAGACCTCAAAACAATGAAAAAAAAAGATACCTTCTTAGGATCAAGGTGTATCTGTTGCAACAGCCAGCCAATGGCTCCAGACAACAGCAGCAGTTCCTGCTAGCCAGCCAGCCAGCCAGTCGGGCAGCCATCATCATCTCCAGCTCACCATCAGCTGTCACTCCAGACATTTCCAGTAGTCCTCCAGCTCCTGCTGCTCCAGACATCCTTGCCAGCAGTAACAATAATAATGTAATAAACTGTCCTTTTCAGGACAATGCTCTTCAGTGACTATAAAACTGTCCTTCCCAGGATAATGCTATTCTCATCCTTGACATGAGATATACAGAAATGTTTTTTGCCTAATGCATGGTAACCTTATTTTTGTTATTTTTTTAATGAAAATAAACTTGGCAATATATTTTTTTACTCAAGTCTTCATTTTGTTTGTTATTGTCTTCCACCATTCTGTTTCTGGGCCAATATACCACCTGCTTAAGATCACATCATGTTGAAACACCAGTTCTTGTACAATCACTGAAGTTAAGCAACATTGTGCCTGGTCCAAACCTACATGAGTCACCACTTGGGAATACCAGATGTTGCAAACTTGGTTGTGTGGGTGGTGTAATGGATAATGGCTTGGAATTGTTAATTGGAGAGCTGAGTTCCAATTCCTGCTGGGTTTCTTATATTCATGTATGTGAAAATGCCCTTGAAAAAAGAATGAATCCACCTCTTCTCCTTCCATCTATGGGTTAATTAGTAAGACCTGTATCACTAAAACCATTATTATCTCAAAAAG